CCCCCCCACGTGCTGCTGAAATTCCGGACGGATAAAGGGAGGGACCCGTTGCCAGAGAGCTATGCCGAAGACTCGGAGCGTCTGCTGCAGATCCGAAACGAGGTGCTGGACTCCCTGGGCGTCAGCGCAGACCTGCTGCCCGACGACTTCGTCAGGTGCGCTGCTTTGGCTGCAGTCCGGTGTCGGGGCTGGGATCGGGACTCTAGGCCTGCTGCTCGGCATGCGGTTCAGGTCCAGCCTCGGGACAGTACCTTCCCTTGGCCGGGGACCATTGTCCACGCTGGGTGCTCCTCGCTGCCCACGTGTGAACAGGAGCAAAGCGGGTCCCAAAGAAAGGGGCTGTCCAATGGGCCTGTCTCCAGACACCCCCGCACACACCCCACGTGTCCCGGCTACGTCCCTTGGGGGCTGCCCCCCATGGGGCACTGGAGCGTGTCCGTGGCCTGTGAATAGCTCCTTGGCTCCAGAGGGTGTCTTGGTCTCTCTCTTCCATGGGTGTAGGGATTTCTGGGGGATGGAGCTACCTTTCCTGTACCAGCTCTGCTGGGGTTCAGAGCCTCCTCCCTGCGCTGTGAGGGGGATGCCCGCTGCAGACCAGCCCTCCCAGGATCCAGGCCCAGCGTGGGGCCATGCTGCTGTCTGCAGCGCTGAGCCAGCCCCACAGCGAGGAGCGCATCGCAGGATCATTAATCTGTCTCTGATCCCCTCTGGGCAGCCGCAGTTCTGCATCAGCAGTGACCTGAGCCGTCTGGCTGCCTCGCCCCGTGGGTGAGCACAGAGCCTCCAGGCCGCGCCTGGCTGGGCTCCGCTCCCTCGCCCGGGTCGTCTCGCGCGCTGCCTGTTCTGCCCTGCTTGGCTGCGTGGGCCTGATGGGGATGGATGGGCTGCTGGGAAGCTCGGCTCCTCCCTGCTCTCCCGGGCTGCGTGTGACCCTGTCCCCGCAGCTCCAGGGAGACCCCAGGCCATGGGATGGAGGGGGCGCCGGGCAGTGACGCTGAGAAGGACCAGCTGAAGCTTTGGACCTGGGGCAGAGATGGTCCCAATCAGCCCTGAGCACATGGGAGAGACCCGGGTACCTGGGATGGGCGGAGGCTGGGATGGGCTGGACCAGCGGGGATGGGGGAGTCAGGGCAGATGCTTCAGGGGGATGGGGGGGGGTACGACTCCCCACCCCCTGACCCTGCCGTCCCTTCATGTGTGGGTTGGAAGGACCCTCCCTGCGCCCCCGGATTCATTTCAGCCTGAAAATCCCACCCCGCCTGCATGTTGCCACACGCCGCCCTGGGAGGCGCAGGCCGCTGTGCGCCGCCAGGAATGGCGGGAATGCGCCCGGGCACACGGCAGATATGTCTGGCCCTATTTTTAGAAGGGTCGCATGCAGCATGTGAGGGGCTGGGACAACACACCCGTGTGGCTGATGAGCTCCCGGCAGCGACGGCTGCTCAGTGCTCACCCCTCGAAGGCCCTGGACCCCCCCCCGGGCCTCGTCGCATTGGGGTGTATCCTGGGCCCGCTGGCTATGCTCCTGTCTCGCTGCACCCCTGCCCACCTTTCCTGTCTCCCAGGGCCCCTCCCAGATCCGGGGCATTGGGGCCAATTGACGCTTCCCCCTTAGCTCAGTCCTCGCTCTGGTTCTCCGCCCCAGCCGAGGGGTGTTCACTGATGGCTCTACCAGACATGCTCTTTGCAGACCCTGCCTGGCGAGGATCACCCATCGCGTCCCTTCCACTGGGCTCTGTGCCTGGGCCAGTGACCCTCGGGCTGGGCTGGCAGGGCCAGGGCTGGAAGCCTGGGGGGCTGGGCTGGTCACTGCCCTGGCCTGGGGCAGCCGGTGCCACGTTGGCGCTGGGACTCGGAGGGCTGAGCCGGCCGGGCGCCTCAGGCACTGACCTGGGGTGTGTTTCTTCCAGCTATTGCTTCTCCGAAATGGCTCCCGTCTGCGCAGTGCTTGGAGGGGTCCTGGGACAGGAGGTCGTCAAGGTAACGGGGTTGTGGCTAGGCCCAGCTGTCTGAGAGAGGGTGGTATAGCCATGGAGGGGGGAGAAATTTACCCTCCATCATACAGGGAGCCAGTGGCAGAGCCGGGATAGAACCCAGGAGTCCTGCTCCCAGCTTCCCATCTCCCCCCCCCCCGTA